GTGTGATGTAATTATAGCCCCCCTCTGGGAAGTAAGTAGCATCCCTGCTGAAATGCTTGAGCAATTTTCTTACTAAGCTGGGATTAAGAACTCCTAGGACTGGCTATCATTCAGCTGAGCTGACCCTGATGCTAGTGATGAGCCTTATGACTAGATATATCTTAATCGGAACACTTTTTTTTTTTACGCCTCTACTAAGAGAATACTGAAATTGCTTTCCCTTTGTGGCAAATTTGAAGGAAAACCGTCTTGTGCTTGTAATAATTCCATCTGAGAAGATGTTTTACCAGTGCTTTCATTCAATATCTGGTCTCTGTCTTGAAAATGGAGAATGATAATATGCTGGAATAATGTCAAAGTCTTTGAAGGTAACAAGGCGTTATGATTATTCTCCATCTTTCATCTACGGGGAGTTTAGAAGGTGGCGAAGTTAGAATAAAATGTGCTACCTTTCCTTTTACGTTTCTGTATATTAGCTCACGGCCCAGTGGCTGATGAGATGAAGTACCCTGTTGAAGCCAGGGTTTCTCTTCCAACTGCATTCCCACTACTTACAAATTCTGCTTCTGAGAGGGATAAGGAAGTATGTAGCAAGCTGGGGAAAATTAGCAATGGCAGGAGACCGTGACTTTACCGTAGTGACTGTTAGCTTCCATACTGGGATCTGACATTTTCTCGTTGTTGGAGTTCAGAAGTGGTACTGCTGGCCTTAAAATGAAATATAAAAAGGGAAAACAACATATAGATATATTTCTTGTTGTTATTCTAACCCCAAACCAATGAAGTAATCAAAGGAAGATCATGAGAAAACCAGGAAGAGTTTTCCAAGGTAAGGAAAACTTAACTCACTCTCTCATTTGGAAAACTAGTATTTTTTGGTAGCTCCAAGGATTATGTGAAAAAACTTTTTTTTTTTTTTTAGACAGAGTCTCACTCTGTCGTCCAGGCTGGAGTGCAGCAGTGCAATCTTGCCTCACTGCAGCCTCCACCTCCTGGGTTCAAGCGATTCTCATGCCTCAGCCTCCCAAGTAGCTGGGATTTCAGGAGTGCACCACCATGCCTGGTTACTTTTTGTATTTTTAGTAGAGATGGAGTTTCACCATGTTGGCCAGGCGGGTCTTGAACTCCTGACCTCAGGTGATCTGCCCGCCTTGGCATCCCAAGGTGCTGGGATTACAGGCGCGAGCCACCATGCTTGGCAGTGATAAAACTTTTTCCTATTAAAGTAAGTATCAGGACCAAAGGGGACATGAATACCAGGAGTCCTTCACAGGCTACTCCCAAGCCCCTGAATTCCTTATGCTGTGCTACTGTTTCTCTCTGGAACAGAGCAATCATTTCTATACTTTTGGATTTCAGATTTCAGGAACTGTAAAGGTAGTAAAACTATTTTTTAAACGCCAACTCTATTTTGCCAAATTAAAAAAAATCATCTATTACCATTATAATTTCATAAGGAAAAGGAGATTTCACAAATAATCATGTAGGAAGGACATGATCTCAGAATAAAAGCCATTCCTCCCCATGAAAGGACAATTGGCAACCTTCCACTGAGATATGCGTGCACGCGTACACACACACACACACACACACACACAAAACTCACACCCAAGGAAGGCCTATATTTTTCTGAGTTTGCCAGAGCCACTGAAAACTTCCTAATGACCAGAACCTCGCTTCAGACATGTCCACTGTGCTCACAGAGCAGCCGCCCCCTTCTTACAACTACACTCACCTGGACATTTCCACTGGCATCTGCTTGGCTTTAAAAAAGAAAAAGAAAAATCAAAGTCAGTATATGGTGCCCACCTCCATACTACTCTAATGGCCAAAACGCCAATTACTTTTGCACTAACCTAATAGATAGAAAACACTTTCTTTTCTTTCTTTTACTCCTAGTAAGCTGTGAAGGAACACTCTTTTCAACTACATTTGACTTTCCAGAAGATTGAATACCCAGAAAAAGAGAGAAAAGGAAGCCAAACATATTCACTCTTTTACAAAAGACAGAAAAGAAAGAGGTATTCTCTTGGTTTTATATCAAGATATTTCCCCAGAAACATGATCTCTTAACTATTTTAGCCAGAAGTGATTTTTGTTAGTGAAATGTGATGGAAAAAGAGACAATGATACAGGAATCAGATCAGCCAGATAAGCAGGCAGCTCTCTCCCTCTCTTTCTCTCTCTCTCTCTTTTTGAGACAGAGTCTTGCTCTGTTGCCCAGACCGGAGTACAGTGGTATGATCTGGGCTCACTGGGTTCAAGGGATTCTCCTGCCTCAGCCTCCC